TGATACCTTTTCCATCGTTGAATCTGGGATATAATATTTACAATTCTTTATTATGAAAACAAGTATGCAGCCTCCATCTGTCATCCATGGCCGTGCGAAACTACCTGGCTGAGGGGTGGACATTAAGAGAGGAGATCTTGATAAGGGCAACACTGGCTAAAGAGATACCAAAGGGAAGATTGCACTGAGATGAACACCTAGTAAGAATCCCAAAGAAAGAACTAATAAATCACGTTTACAATGTAAACTTATCTTTTTAGTTCTTTCTGTTCTTTTCTCGCCAGAAGCCCTAATCAACTACAAGTAAAAGAAAATCGAAAGAGACCCGCCGTTACGTTCATTCCATTGAATTCATCTGCTCGCTTTCAACGCATAGGGCAGGGTTTCTTCTGGAGAAAACGAAAACGGGCTTCGTGGGATATCCGGAGACCGCGGGCTGAGTGCTTTTGCGAAAAGGCCGTCCCCAGAATCCATGTCCGGGACCCCGGAAAAGTTGTTGTGTCTGATATTATGGATGGGATGCATAGAAACGGAAGCTAATGTGTGCAGTTGGGCTTGGTGATCTTGTATCGAAGTTGGTGGCGCATGTGAAGTGGTCTTCAAGGGCTGTTGTAGCTGTATGGGAGAGAAGTGGACAGGTGTACTAGCGAAGGAATTGAAGGAGGAAATGGCGACGTCTGGTTCATCCGGGGATAGGGGATGAAGATCCGGGTCTGCATTGGTCCCGGAATCTACTGATGGGTTTGCTAAGATAGACAAACGTCAACATTGGCGTACTGAAAGGCACTTGAATTTATAGTCCTACCTGCTGCTCTTCTTGCCAGGTCATTCTGGCCCGTTTCAAGCTTGAGTCCCTTGAGTTTCTCGCTGAGCTTGCTTCCACTCGGCGACAGTGGTGTCCGAGGGCTCAACGGGACAGAGCTGATATTGGTTGACAAGTTCAGACTAGACTGGAGAGTCGGAGGCCGCCCCGCAACTCCAAAATTAGCTTCTATCCATTCCTTTTCCTGTAGGACCATCGCTAGGGCAACTCCTTCTAGGTTATTCTGCGATTCTTCTTTAATCTCCTTTTCCAGAACCTGCATGCGTTTTTTTGCCCAAATGGTATGCAAAACGCCCTTCTTCCCGGCTGTCCTCGCTGTGGCACCCAGCTCTGGCGGGAATATAGCGGGCAACGGATTGATTTGTATCGACTCGCCTGGCCTTTTGACGGATTCTGCAGAGCCCACGGGGGGTTCGTAGGTGAGGGTGATGACGGGTGGTATGGTTGCGCCTGGCGGTAGCAAGAAGTAGCATCGTCGGACGTGGTCACTTGTCCTATCATCGGCGGGAAGGACAGTATGTTTCTTATCCCAGGCCACACGCCATGACCCAACAGCAGATCTCGTCACATCATCGTCTTCCCATTCAACCATCAAGATTTTGGTCCCCTCGTTGCCCTTGCCCGCTTCAAATTCGAAACGTGCAAGTGCGGTGAGAGATTGTAGTTTATGAGGGACGCGAGGCGTCTCCAACGCAAAATCGTCAACTTCGTCGGGGACGAACGTCTGGGCCATAGTTTGGTTGTTTTGGAAAGCTCCAGTTGCTTCCCCTCCTTCGTGATGCGGCAGGTGGCTTAGACGAGGAAAATTTTGGAAAAGAAGGCGAGTCAAATGAGCACCGTTTGGCGATTGTCCTCCCAAAGATCGGATGAGAAATGGGGCTTATGCACAGGAATCTGTCACTGGACATTAGCGAGGCTGAAGGACGATGATCATGTTAGTGGTCTCAAATGGGAAATTTGAGGTTTGCCTTTGATCACATCCAGAGAAAATCCCGGCAACAGGGTGACCGCCAGGCTGAACCTAGTCAAATCGGATATTATTGGATAAAAGCGAGAATGGATTCCAAGGTTCATCATGTATTTTTTGTTTCGCGGAGGGCAAATACGAACTCGTGCATACTTCGTACAATGTCCTCTTTGTCTATCCCTATCACGAGAACATGGGACCCTTCTCTTTGGAATTGCGGAGCATCCTGCCTGTTAATCAGGTTCTAGTCCAGAGTGCTCTCACTGTTCCTTCAATTAGTGGAAACAGAAAGAATGTATCGAGCCTCTTAGGAGGAGGGGGACAAATCCCCTCAAAGCCAAGACAGCCAATGCAGGCGGCATTCGTTTTGTCCGCACTCCATCTTAGATTCGGAGGTCAAAGGGAGCTGACTGTCGGGCGACTTCGCTGAAGACAATGGCAGAGACTGCCCCGAGAGCTGACTCGGTCCGGAATAATCCGTCTCATTCTCGGCCAAGGGAGATTGCTGATCCTGGAACCCAACGAAGGGGCGTCTGGAAACCGGAAGTGCGTGCGTGGGTTGCGGGTTTTTGCTTGGTCAAGGCCTGGAGGCAACTCCTCCCTGCATGATGGAACACCACGTTGCTTTTTTTGTGATTTAGTGTCGGGCATGGGACTGGGGGTTGCTAAAGATAGATCTTTTGCCGTTCGGCGAGATTCCAACACCCAAGCATCCTAATAGAGGAGTATTATATGGTGATCTGCCCGGGAAGATCATGCCATATCATAGAATTCCGAGTACAGAGGAATCATCAAAATAAAATGAATCAGCCGAGGCCAGATGCATCCCATTGCGGATCAATAATCAGTAATAAAATGCGAGAGGAAGTTGATGTTCGACCATGCAAACAGCACAAACCTACTCAGTCAGCGTAAGATTAGCTAAGCAATCACGTGCAGCCGACGTCGGCCCTTGTTTTTGGCGACGACGACAAGCAGCTGTTGCTGAAGAATGCACCATGTTCGTCCTCTGAATCTGTCAAGTCAAGAGTGATACGGGTCTTAAAATGGCCTGTCAGCCAACGGGCGGTTGCATATTCTATGAAAGCACTCTGGGAACATCGTGAAATATAACCAATTGCCAATTGCCAACTACCCTATTTCCCACTTGTTGACCAATTCGACATGGGAAAGTATTAAAAGAAAAATACATATTCATCGCATTATATTCCCCTGTATGCGAATATGGGGAACTGGGCCCGTATCGTCAAAAGGATGGCCCTCTAACACCTCGATAATACCCCTGTGAAGGAATTTACCACTCAAGACAGGTTTTCCTTGCGTCCCCAGGAGTGAAACCAAAATACAAAGCAAGCTTGAAAATTCAAAAAAGAAAAAGAAAAGAGCAAATGACGATCACGTTCCCTTACATTTATCATGTCGAGAAAAAAGGATACCCAGTAAACTCCAGAAATCGCTGAACAAAAGGACTAATAACGAGGACCCGTGGCTAACAAAACAACAGATAGGAGCGGCATTATCTGCTCAACGAGAGAAGTGGATATAGAGTATTCGAAACTCTCATACATTTACTTCTTTTCTTCCATTTTTCTCCTCTTTCCCCTGGGTGCAGGGTCTAGCGGGGTTCGTTTATAGGTTATTGTCCGTGTGACAACTTGACGGACAGTGACGGGGCGGGCACACGAAGAACAACGTGATGCATCAAGATAGCGGACTTTTGCATCAACAGGCCATTCTCCCGCCGGAGACAAAATTGAACGCAATGAAGCGCTTCTTGGGGACTCTGTGATGGGCGAACCCTTCGCTGATGCCGAAATGCGTAAAGGCCGCAGGTTGAGTGGCGTTCTTGGTGTTCTCTGGCTCCGTTCTGGCTGTGACTTGGTTGTCGCCGCGGACCCTGGAGTTTTGAGAGGGATTGTTAAGGACCTTGGATGTTGTTCACAGTTGCAAAAGTATGGGCTTGTGCCTGTTGACGGATTTGAAGACTTGTCTGTTGAGAGCGTGCTTGATGACAGAGGGGTCGCGACCATCGGCGTCAACGTCTTGAGCAAATCAGTGTACGCGACCGGAGGAGTGATCGGTGTCTTCAAGGCGTCTTCATGCTTAAGCATCTCGAACTTCGCAGAAAATAATGGACTGTCATGGAATTCAGACGGAAAGACCAGCGCCTTGGACGTATCCAAAGGAGCCAGCGTCGGCTTGGTAGGGGAGGACGGCATGCTGGCGGGCAAATGGACCAACGACTGCCAGCAGGATATTACGAGCGGAAAGCCAAAGAGGAGATAAGAGTCTTTGAACGGGCAATGAGATGTCTGTCCGCCAGGAGAAGCCTGAGATATCGCTCGATATGCACCGCAGATAGAGGGGGGTTGATATGATATGGTTGTCGATGAGGAGCAGACAAAGTGACAAGTCACACGTTCTCAGTCAGCGAGGTGAAAGACGGCCGGCGCACTCCAGTCTGATGTTGGTTCTGTCACTCAGCGAAACGACGAACGGAATGCGGCACTGTTAGATGGGCGCGTAACTCTGACCAACCAGAAGCCAGGAACCGAGAGGAAGGATTTCGGTAATAAGGGCGGCGCCAGGAATAGCAACCGCTAGGCCGGATTGGGAATGGGCCGGGTGGCGGAAAGTTTATTTGGCGTTGGGGGTTTTTGGGGTTCCCGTTTGGGGCGAAGCTAGGGCGAGGATAACTGCGTGGATTGCAGCGTTGATTGGACTGCTGCTGGCTATCAACGTCCTGCTGCAGACCGATGGGTGATATCTGTGGGTGCAACTCAAGGAGCAACGGACTGTTCCTTGTTAGTTCGCTCTAATTGGCCGTGAGGACGGCTCTCTCCTCACCTGAATGCGGGGGCAAGACCTGATTGAGAAACGCTTTTGGCTTAGCAAGCCACGCTCACAGGACAGTGACGGGAGGATAGAGAGAAAGCGAAGCACTTCAAGAAGCTTATATTATGACAAAGGGACTTCTTGTTCGATGGGGATTGAACCCGTGTTGTTTGAGTCGTGTGTTGAGCTGACTAGTTACCGCTCAGGAAAGGAGGACAAGCTGGAAGAGGTGATCTGGAAAATACATACCCCAAGGGCAGCGACACGGTTCCTTTTATGTTTGACTGTTGGGGCCACAAGCTTGTCTCTTCCTGAGAATATAGTTTTTCTTTCTCGCCAGGAAATAAACCTCAGTCCTAAAATATCTTCGTGCTCGAACTGCTGAGAGCCAATAGACCCGCAATACATTCTTCGAACCCATGCGGCTATGTCGCAAAGTTGTGGGATAAGACTACAAGACATCGACCTCTGCCCTGCGGTTGGTACCTGACGAATGACTGGAGCGCGCGGTTATCCTGTTTCTCCAGCTGGGGCGGTTCGGGGGAATCCATACAAAGCATCAAGGCCAAAATTGCCCCAGCAACGCGAAGCTGCTTGCTAGGGCTTGAGATGCTGCTATCAGCTTCCATTGGTCATACTCTTCTATGGCCTCCGGATTGCCTAGGATTCGTTTTAGCACCCTGATGTTTCATATTACCATGAGGACCGACTAAATCAAAACAGGTTACTGATCCCACTCATAAATCAACACGATTGGATGGCGGAAGACATTGGCGTCATAATTTCATTCTTCAGGACTATTCTGGGGAATTCGTTTCATTCTTCTTCAGGGCTTCATCTGCCTTAGCGCCCTTCGTCTCTCTCCACAGTTCTTCACGCTTGAACCTTCGAGCATCCCTGTTCTATAATTGGATTCTTCAAGCAAATCTTTGCCATGCTACCATAACCCTGTCCTCAAAAGGCGGGCGCTTAATTGCTCTTCCGGCTGCACTGCTGCAAAGTCCTTTCCTCGACAGCCTGGTTGGTCAGGCATCCATTTTGGTCGCTAGCTGCAAATAGAGTAACTGCTGTTCCTTCAGGGCTTTCGTCCGCGGTCAGGATTCGTTGATGAGTCCGGTGATGCATGTAACATCACCCCATAGTCTGCATGTTGGACTAGTTGCCGCTGCTTGGCAGTCACGCTCTCAATCCCTGCCATTGATTGACATTTGAATTTCCTCTCAATTCATCTCTTGCAACTACTGTCGACCATGTATGCAGGTTGTTCACCATCAACACCATTTAGAACCAGGGGTCATGGCCTGCCATGATCTACTTGCCTCCATTATGCAGCCTTTCCACATAGTGCAGCAGCTCTGCGATATTCTTTCGAGGTTGATTCCAGTGCTTCTAGAGTACATAGGCATGAGGATACGTCTCATGCCGGATTGGGATTTGCTTGCCAATTACCTACCAATTGGCTTTCCATCCGAGCATGATTTTGACGTCAATTGTGGTGGAGGCTCCGAATAGAAACAGTGAAGTCAAATGAGCATCGTTGCGATCTGTTTCGTCCCAGCCTACACCGACAAACAGGCGCCTATTTCCATAAATACAATCTATCAGTTCAAAGATTACACACATCCAGTTTCCTCTCGTAAAATGCGGCCCACCATGTCCGACATTTAAGATGTGAAATAAATTGCCCCATTTCTCCAAGAACAAGTCATATCAAGCCCCGCGACAGCTGCCAATTCGAGTTCCCAGAAACTTGATATCGAAGAAAACAGTGCGCCAAAGTCTGGCAGACTCTGCTAGTGCCCGTAACATGCCTGGCCTGATATAAACCCGCAAAGGTAATGGCATTAGTGACCAATAGAATCAATCCCGGTATCTATCACTAGAAATTCGCCGCGTGTTGAACCTGGGCTCTGTTCATGGTATTTCGTCACCTTGTGCTCCTTGCATGTCATTGCAGTAACGAGCCCTGATGCCGCCAATCCTGTTAACTAATGGGCGCTTAAAAGATTTTAGAGCAGTCCCTCTATCGAATAGATCACGCATGTGGGATTGATCGATGCAAGTCCGTTATCCGCAAAGTGCTATTGTTGGTTTCCCTTGCTTTCCGCGCACTCCTCGTTACCAATTTTGGGCTGCCGAAACTGTTAGCAAAGCGCTACGCGTACCTATTTTTACGAGGCGGTGTGGGATTTTCAATCTTATCCGTTGAATAACAGCCCCCTCCATCATGTGTCGAATAGTCATGCGGAGCGAATCCATTCTGGTTTCAAAGAGCTGGCATTGATGGTCACGCTGAAGCTTCATTCCCTCTACGGATTCCGATCCGCCTTTTGATATTGTCCACTTTTACCATGGGGGCCAAGGATTGTCTTGAATTAACCATGACGGGTAAGAGCTTTGATCGCGAAGTCTTAGTGGAAAACTTTTCAGATTGTCATAGTTATCAAGAACCAGTCTCTAAATTTAGTTGATATCATCCTATCCAGGAAGATGACATCAGCAACTCTTGACTGCATGCCTGGTGAGCTTGAAGTGGAAGAGATATGCTTCTAGATGGCACATACATGTTTCGCTCAAATGCGCGTTTTGGTGAATGGTCTACTCCGTAGTAGTCTAGTAGAGAGATGCTTGGTGGGTTATCGATTTCGGTGAGAACTTTTGAAGGATTTTTTTTGATAACTGCCAATCTAGAGATACGGCGATGCTAATTTACTTCGCTTTGCTGCTATGGCAAACAGAACACAGCTTAGAGTGCAAGGTGTATATGTATCCCATCTATCGACATTCCTCTCCTATCGCCCTCACTTAAGAGGACCCAACAGTAGAGAAACTTCCTATCAAGGAGTCATTATTCTCCAGAACCTTGAGGATCCTGAAATCAGAGTCCATGGCAACACGTCGCTGTGGAGTTATGAGTCGAAACGACGGTCGTGGCTGGTTCTGTTGGCTTTTTGATATGATGAGAAAAAGAGAAGAAAAGAAAGAGAAAATTTGGAGAAAATCGGTTTTTGTAGCCGTGGGTCACGTGTTGGGCTGGCCTGTTACTCAGCAACGAGATTAGTAAGTAGTCTTGGCATCAACTCCTGTGCTTTTTGTCTGAACGTCGTCCATCTTCAGTTTATCTTTGACAGGCTAGACAGAGCACGGATAGCGGCATGGGAGGGGGGCCGGGAGTGCCTTGGAACATCATACCCTGCACCTCGGAATTGAACTGATCTTCATGAACATGGCATGAACTTTTGATTAGGGCTGCTGGGCTTGACTGACCCTGGTCAACTCAAGCATGCACCTGCAGAAAGTGAGAGCTGCTGGCTAATGAGAATGTGCTGGACCTGGACCTTCATCCGGGCGCGTAATATCTGTCTTGACAGGCTCGAGGAGTCGCATGAGAAATGCATGATTTCTCCTTTACATTAGGACTGATTAACATGCCAACCTCAGAGCGTGTCATGAACCCTGCCAGGACGGCCGGCAATATTGCAACACAGTAAATTAAGAAGAAAGAAAAAAGACGCCGGATATCTCTTAGGAGTGAAAGTGACATGATTGCTCTGTGCCTTCAATAATCATGTCCTACTCCCGATTTCACTCTCCGTTATCCCTGCTTATTCCTTGAATTTCCCCCCAAATATTCCTGTCCAGCGTTTTTGCTTCGGCTTCTTCTCCTGCTTCAATCTGGCCTTCTCCTCCTCAGCTCCTTCTGAGTGTTTTGCCATATACCTGAGCATGAAATGGCAATCTCGTTTCTGTAGTTCTTCCCTATCCATCAATCCTTTCCCGCCATCCGGACGCGTGTCCGGGTCTTCTTTGCCCTTGTATTTTGATTCGGGTTCTCGACTTATTTGAAGAATTTCAATAAGCCCATTGCACTTGTGGGTCAACCAGTCAAAGTGCTGCATACCATCCCGCCAGTGCGGTGGGAGTGCGTTATATCCAAACCAGCAACCTAAGAAAGCACCGGCGACGCAGGCATTGGTGTCTGCATCTCCAGCAGCAAGGGTAAGCTCAGTTATGATACTTTCGAATATCGCCGAAGGCAGAGTGTCCGTGTGTTTGCCGGCTACCACTGTATTAAATGGTGCTCGACGCATCGCCATGCGTAGACTGAGGATTGCTGCTCCCAGACACTTGTACACATAACCTATTTTCATCGAGTCATCCAACTGAAGTTCTTCAAAAGTTTGTGCTTGAACGTGTTTGCTAAACTCCTGCTGATCGAGCAATTCACCGCCTTCAAATTCTGATGTATCGTTTGACTCCAAATCCTTGGGCTCCGTTTGACGGCTTCTAGTCCATCTGTCAACCCACCCATAAACACGCTCAATCATGTTGTCGACATCGACTTCGGCCAATATTTCGCCTCTTAGTATGCCCCTGACCAGTCCAGTGGCTATGCAACATGCAACGACACATCTAGGATCCGCATGAGTGACGAGAGAGAAGTCCGTGGCAATGCGACAAGTTTCCTCGAAGCTATATCCAACGCATATGATACCAAGTGGGTGGGTTCGCATCAACGAGCCATTAGGTGCGACTTTCCTGCCAGACTTGACCCAGTGTTTATGGGCTGCTGCAGCGGGATCAGCGGAATACTCTGGGTCAAGAACAACCTACATACTTTGTCAACGAATTCAGGGGGATTCTGCTGGGGGAAACCATTTACCGATCCTACTGTCCTCCCCAGTCCAAGCGGTGGTCTATTCAGCGCTCGCAAACCCTGTTCTACCCAGATTAGCAGCCGGTGTGCCAGGTCATTCGCTGAGAGTGTTTCGCCATCGTGGTGTAAAAAGGAGAGGAGTATCATGAGAGCATGATCCGTGTCATCCGTCCAAGATCCCTAGTCGTAAAAAACAGAAGCTCAGCTATCATGAAGAAACTGGATTCTCGCTGGCCTCAAGGAGTGGTCATTGACGGCAAATGCTTACGATTTCGAATTTGTCTTTACTCCCGTTGAACATTTCAGTCAGTACTTTTGCAGAGCGGTTGCTGGAACGAAAATAAAGTGATCCTTACTTCTGTGGCCATCATTTCGAAATTTAGTAGCTGGATTTGCAAGTCGAAATTTGCCGTCGGGATACGCTTCGCGCGCCAATTCGCTTGACAAGAATTCTATACCTGAGTTAGATGGCTTTTGATAGAAGTCTCCTTGTAGAACATTGTCATGTGGTCACAGGGCGTAAATGCAGAACATCGTGAGAGTCTTTCGAGGAGCATCCCACTCCACCTCCTCTAATCGCTTCGAATGCAAAAGGGCGGACTAACCTGTGTATAGACCGATACAGTCGCCCAACGCGGATCCGACGATTGTCCCTTTGATTTTGTCCTGCACAACTGCGGGCACGAAAGGATGGAGAGAAAGGAATCCCAGATCAGGGGTTGCGGTATTGGCTGGCTTCGTGTCCGACATGGCTGTTTCAACAAAAAAAGGATGATCTTATTGCTGCTAGTTGTTTTGGTGATTGTAAGGAATGCTTTTTTCTGTCAGGGGTTCTATTATATATGACTTGCTCTGAAGAAGAGCTGATTTGGTGCTGCCTGGTCACTTGTGAACAAGATTTTGTGGCAGCCTTGCAAAATGGACGAAAATATATAACTAACTAGTTAACTGTGAGTCCTATTAACTAACTCCGAGTGCCAGAGGAGTGGACGATCTCAAAGGCCGATTTTGTTTCAGCCTGATCACTTGTTGTATTGAATTAGTTGAAACAAGCGCGCACGTCATGCTGTGGGAGAGAAGCTTCATTGAGGGATTCTATCAATTTGGGTTACAAGTCTATTTTCATATACGTGTTCTTTCAAATATATTTACTCTTGAAATCGGAAATCAACCATCGTCAGGTCCAAAGTATAGGGAATCATAACATCAAAGGATCTTCTGTCCGTGACAAATCGGAAAACCCGCTTTTGTGTAGTCGTTATGTCTATCCAGAATCTCCATCCAACAATCTTAGTCCGTAACAAAGTCTTCTCTAACAATTCCACTTCGATCACACATGCTGCGGAATATCCCTTGAGCTTCCCAGAGTGCCATCGGGGTGTCAAATTCCGCAATCCGTCCCTGATCCATCACGCAAATACGATCATAATTGATAATCGTGCGGAGTCGATGAGCAATACACAACAATGTCTTGCCTTTGAACCCCTGCGCCATGGTCTTTTGGATCTTTTGATCCGTTTCAAAATCCACGGAGGAAGTTGCTTCGTCGCACACAATAATGCGGGAGTCACGAACAAGGGCTCGGGCGAGGGCCATCAGTTGTCGTTGGCCGAGAGAGAAGTTTAGGCCTTCTTCTTCGACGGGAGAATCGAGCTGAATACGTTGTTGCTGATGTTGCTGCTGAACGTTCTCGTGCGACTCTGTGAATTCCTGCTTGGGCCCGGTGACGCTAGACACTTCTCCGACGAGATCCGCTTTTCGCAAGGCGGACCAGAGTTCGAGATCGCTATATTGATTAAAGGGGTCTAAATTGGACCTTACGGTCCCTCGAAAAAGGGTTGGGTCTTGCGGAATAATGGCCAACCGGGATCGGAGGTCATTGAGACCTACTGTGGAGATATCAATACCATCAATTCTGATACTTCCACCGGAAAGTTCTGTGAGCCTAAACAGGGCAGACATAATGCTCGACTTGCCGGCGCCTGTCCGCCCAACGATTCCAATTCGTTCACCACCACGGATCTCCATGTTGAGTCCTTGAAGGACAAGGGGAAGACCTTCTCTGTATCGCATCTTCACGTCAGAAAAGATGATTTCCCCCTTCTGTGGCCAGCTGATATCCAATTCACGTAGATGAAGTGGAGCTTCTTCCTCCAACTGAGTCCCGTAATAATGTATTCTTTCCGTGGCATTCATGTTGTTCTCAACTTCAGCCAGCTGACGCACGGTAAATTGCAGCATTTGGAAGATAGCTAGGATATAAGATAAGACCAATCCAGAGATACTGGGTTCAACGTCAAATCTCGAAGTCACCACTAGAATTCCGGTGACCAAAACCATGAGGCAGCCGACCGCGTCTAATCTGACGCTCAACCACCGTTGATTGGAGAAAGTGAGGAAATACGCGCTATCCATGTTATCAATCGCCGCGCGAATACGACGGATAAAATGATTCTGAAGACCGTATGCTCGAATGGAAGCAGTGCCAGAGACTGCTTCGCTAAACTGTGCGAATACCACAGATCGAAGAACGGCTTCATGTCGTTTCATTTCCCGGGCAGAGGCCCTATAAAAATTTGCCGCTAAAAGGAAAAGAACAAGAAGTGGAACGAGCGCAACTGCGAACTAAGGAGACATTAGTCCACTTATACACGAAATCAAGGTGATAGAAATCACTTACGAAGTGGTAAAAGACAATGATGAGTATTATGACCGAGACGATCATGGTAAACGTCAAGTAATAGATACGCATCGCATCACAAAGGTCATTATCCATGGTATGGATATCCTTCGAAAAGCGATTGGTGATACGACCAAGAGGGGTAGTATCGAAGAAGGACATCGGAGCTCTTAACACCCGTGTCATGGCCCTTTGCAGCATTGTCTTACTAGCATTCGTCCCGCTTGTCGTGAGTATCGTGGAGAAACCGAACATTAAAATGGCCTGTGAGGCTCCTAGGGCCGCATAAATACCCATATATTCACCCTGAGGGAGGCTGAATTTATCCGATGTCCAGTAGGACAGCCACAGACTTGTCACGATATTCGCGCCGTTGCAGAGAACTAGCAAGATAACAATCAAAGGGAAGTTGGTGGGCCATCCAAAGGAAGAGATGTATGCCCACCACACTCCCCAGCTCACAGAGTTGACTGCCCGTTCTTCCTGTTGCATGAGCATGACAGGCTGTTTAATCGGTTTAGTTTTCTCGTTTGGTTTTTGCTCCACTTCAACTTCGTCGGCCTCTTCTCTTTCATCTTCCTTTTCTTCTTGCGATGTTGTTGCCATCAGCCTCTGGAATGTTTCACTATCGCGCATTAGATTATCAAACGTGTCGACGGTCTCGATGCGTCCGTCATTCATAAGAATAATCCTATCACAGCGGTTTAGAACATGGAGCTGATGAGTAGCTAAGATTCGGCATTTGTCCTTGAGCAAACCACAGATCGCGTGGTCCATAATATGCCTCCCTACGTGGGCATCAACCGCAGAGAGGGGATCATCCATCAGGATAAGTTCGGCATCAAAATAGATAGCTCTCGCAATATTCAACCGCTGTTTCTGTCCTCCAGAGATAGTGATACCTCGTTCGCCAATTTCCGTTCTATCTCCAGCAGGGAGCATATCGAGGTCTGCTCGAAGTGCACAAGCTTCGACAACCTCGTTGTACCAAGCATTATTGTATTCTTTGCCAAAGAGAATATTATCTTTCAAGCTTGCGTTTTGAATCCATGCGTACTGAGGGCAAAAAGCTCTTGATGCACCCATCGCCACTCCCCCGGCAGTCAGTCTCATATCTCCTGCTAATGCAGCCAGGAGTGATGTTTTCCCCGAGCCCACTGTCCCTATGACTGCAATAAGCTCGTTTCGCCCGATAGAAATGTTCAGGTTAGTGAGTTTGAATGGCTCAGCCGGGCTGTGAATCCCAGAGTCTGTTGCTTGATCACTCCGTTCGATGGGTGTTTGAAACGCCTTCTGCTTTTTCCCTCTCTTAGCACCTTTCGCTTTGTCATTTTCATTTTCCGGGTCAGTGGGCAATCGCTCCCACGTAAACGCAGCGTCTTTCAGCTCCAGGGCTTTCACCATGGTGGGATCCCACTTGATATCCTCCTTCTGTTCTTCAGCGAGAAGGAACTCCTGGATTCTGCAGATCGCCGTCCACGCGTCTGTTACTTGGCCAATTACCAAAGGAAGCATGTTTAGTGGCAGGCGTAGAGTGTTGAAGATGGCCAAGGATGAGAAAATCGGCGCAGGAGTGAGCTTGTGATCCGTGAGGGAATACGTGATAAAAGCCAGCATCGAAGCGAAAACAGGAAGCGACAGTGAGACGCACAAAATAGCATTCCGAATGGACATAACGAATTGGATAGCAGCGATCTCTCGCTTCCGTATGCCTTTCAGCCTATCCAAAAAACTGCTCTCCCAGCCAAAAAACTTGACAAATCTGACAGCTTGCAGAATCTCCTGCGTAAGGGACACTCGCTGATCTGTTATTGCGTTGATACGGATACGACGCACAATCAGCGACTTGATCGAGTAGGTAAGCACCGGCACACCTAGCATCAGTAGGGCGTATCCTGAAAGAGCGCTGTAGCCGATATTGACAAGAAGCAGGATAAGGGCCACGATAATAATAATCGGAGCCGTCCAGAGAAGATGGAACAGTCCCAATGCCTTATCGATTCGGTCAGTGTCAATACTCATCAAGGCTACAATCTTGCCATTGCTCCATCCACTTCCATCACCGGCAATATCGGCTGCGGTCTTGGCTGACATCTTGGGTCCAGGTTTATTTTTTCCGGATTTCTTGTGAGATATCTCATGCATGACTTCGTCCCTAGCGCTCTGGAGATCTGCTGCATCAGATCCCCCTGCTTCGTTGGGGTTCTTTTCCATACCCTTGCCACCAGCTTTTGCTCTGCCAGAAATCTTTGTTGCCTTTGCAAAAATGGCATTGACAAGCGCTGCCCGAGATTGTCCGCCCACCATCATTCCCCGAAAGAAAAACTGGCTTGTCGACAAGCTCTGAAAGGCCTGCATCACGCATATGCCAACTGCAAGGCCGATCCCACGTCCAATAGGTGGCTGTGGGCGGTCCGTAAATCTTGCAATATACGCATCGGTAGCGAATGCAATCAGATATCGCGTCAGATACGGCGTGAAGACTTGTAAGAGGGACGAAAAGAGCTGACATATGCCCCCAAGCCAGAATTCGAATTTGAAAGTTTCATAGATAGCCCAGAGCAGTGGGTGGCGGTCTCCACGGTCGACTCGCCGTTTGAATGAGGCATCCAATTTCTCCGATAGATTGTCTACTGATCTTTCCGGACTTACAACCCAGATGTCCTGCAGCTCAAGTGGGCGAAGATAACCCGTCTAGTTTACTTATTAGTAGATGGTCTTAATGAACTACTGCTCGCCATTCCAAAGAGGTAAAAGACTGAATTCAAACGAGCAAAACTCACCATCATCAGCGGACTCATCCATTGGAAAGTAATGACACTGAAAAATCCTGCCTTTGACTCTCGTGATACGCTTCGCTCCTTTGGGACTGGAGGTGGTCGCCGTAGCCTGAGCGGATTTAGCTTGGAGTACCATCTTGTTCTTCGCTGAATAGATTCAATTTGATCAGCGTTGTCGTTTTGCGTTTTACCGCTAGAATCGGCGCCTGAGGTGCTGGAAGAAAAGCGAGGATCCTTTTCATCGTCCGGCGCAACAACTACTCCTGTGAAAGAAGCAGCCTGTGGCGTCGCTGACGCTGCGTTGTGTCCGGGCCCAAGCTCGTTCTCGCCCTCTTTGTTGTGTAAAGTTGCGGCCATGGCGCCCTTCGGTGCATTGGGCTGTGTCACCGCGGATGGAGGAACGTGTCGATGCAAGCCGATGACGTCAAGTCAAACAGCATGATAATTCGCCCGAACAGCCTGGTGATTGGGAAATAATTGTTATATGAGGCGAGAAGGAAAGAATCGAACTGCTGTTTGAACAATATTAATGCCTTACTAATGTCAACGCAGCTAGCAGCACATTTTGCCGTCCAAAACTCGCTACCCCGGAGGTTGCATAGTTAACTCGATCCCGACATGCCGACCGAAACTATATTCGAGCTCGCCTCCGCAATCTCGCCCGGATTCCTCGCTAGTTAGTCAAACAGGCGTAGCAGAATTGAGTCAACAGGGTTGAAATCGCGATTCTGGAAAAGTGGTTGCGCAACCCGGTCCATAGTTAAGATTGTTGTTCAGGCTTAAAAACGCTGCATCCCATTTATGTTGGCAAAACTCGTCACAAGTCAGCTGCAAGCAGGGATTCTGTAGTCCGATATTCCGTCCGGAGTAGCGCTCTCTCACCAACGGAGTTCAACCACCGCTCTTCGCTGAGTTTTGGGCCCGAGCCATGTGGAGTTCGAGATGAGCAAACCAGGGGGTGCGATTGGGCCAGCTATTTGGCGAATTTCAGCGCCTGCTCCCCCAGTTGGTTGAACTCTTTCCCGGTGCTTGAGAACAATCATGACCACAAGTCGAGAGAGCAGCGCTGACGGAGGGTGAAACGCACCCCAACAACTGGCCTGAGCGCAAAACTGCTGATGAGCAATCCATCACACCTGGCACACTGGCTTCACAGGACTTTGAGTTTGGCGGGATATAACTATATCAGTCTTTGGGCCTCGGCTTACCGGCCATCAAAAAGGGTTCATTCCGATCTCCACAGCCAGACAAGCTTCTACCAAGAAGGGCCAAGAACAGGGTGGTTTCCATTGGACTTGGAGCAGATCTCCATGTTTGCGTTGACGAAGTTGCTGCCGCGGAATCGGCTACAACGTAGGCTTCCAAAAGCTGGCTGGGGTCACTGATCCCTGACTCTGCCAGATATTACGGTGGTAAAAGTTGGTCATCAAATTATGCATACAATAAACTCGTTATTCAAACAGATCTGACAATCACTCAGAACAATCCAGCTCAATAGGAATCCCCAACCTGTGACGTCCAGAGCATGGTCCTTCTGTGAAAATAAAGATAAAAGGTATCCAAAACTTTTCATTATTTTTTTGTTTAGCATCAACACGCCTAATCATCATTACGGCATTATTTTTTACCAAAAAACCAAAAAGAACATTGAGTGTTTCGCATATCACACTAACCTGATAGCGGGAACAGGTTTAGCATTGATCAATGTCATTGACCTTGACATGTCTTTCAGACGGTGGGATGATCCGGTCCTCTTCAGCGCCTTTGAGGTTGGGTAGCTCTGTGAGGGCTTCCTCGATGATTTTCAACGCTTGTTTCATCTGGTCATCTGTAATCACCAGTGGGGGTGCAAACCGGATGATATTTTGGTGCGTTGGTTTAGCCTGGAGAAGGTTAGCTAATTGATAACTATCTTAATCATCAAGGGTACTCACAAGCAAGCCTTTCGCTTTCATAAGCATGCACAAATCCCAGGCAGTGTGGCCTCCGGTCTTGGACTCATCGACCACCATGGCATTCAACAGGCCGCGACCGCGGACAGTTTGGATGATAGGGCTTTTGATAGCAACGAGGCCATCTCGGAACACCTTGCCTAGCTGCTCAGCGCGCTCCGTCATCTTCTCATCACGGACGATTTCCAAAGCGCGAATGGCAACTGCACATCCCAATGGGTTTCCGCCATAGGTAGAGCCGTGCGTTCCCGGCTCAATGGTGAGCATCACATCCTTGCGTCCAAGGACACATGAGACAGGGTACATTCCCCCCGAAATGGCTTTGCCGAGGAGCACCAAGTCTCCTCGGATTCCGCTCCATTCCTGGCAGAGGAGCTTTCCGGTTCTAGCGATACCGGTTTGGATTTCGTCGCAAATGAGGAGAGCATTGTGTTTGTCGCAGAGGGCACGGGCTTCTTGCAAATAGTCTTCGTCCGGCACCACAATTCCGGCCTCTCCTTGAATAGGCTCCACCAAGAATGCTGCGATCTTGGGCCCAGCAACCTCAAACGCCTCACGCAAAGCTGCCTTGTCGTTGTAGGTGATGACCTTATTCGTTCCTGGGATCTTGCTTCCGATGTTTGGCAAGTAAGGTCCGTAGTTGTCCCTGGATTCGGGGTCTGTAGACATCGAGATAGCTGCAAACTACACCATTCTATCAGTCTCAAGTTACGCCACATGGAGGGGAATTGGGATTCATATCGGTCTCTACTGACAGTACGGCCGTGGAAATTGTTCTCGACACTCAGGACAATGGCTTCATCCTGGGGAATGCCCTTGACCTTGTACCCCCACTTTCTCGCGATTTTGATGCCGGTTTCCACAGCTTCCGCTCCTGTATTCATGGGCAAAATCATATCATAACCGAAGTACTTGGTCGCGAATTCGGCAAATTTGGGGAACACATCGTTGTAGAAGGCTCGGGAGCTGAGCGTCAGGGTCGCCGCCTGCTCGCACAAGGTCTTGACCAGCTCTGGGTGGCAGTGTCCCTGGTTGACGGCAGAGTAGGCTGATAGGAAGTCGAGGTAGTGACGGCCTTCTGGGTCCCAGACAGAGGTGCCAGAGGCGCGAGCAAAGACGATGGGAAGCGGGTGGTAGTTGTGAGCGGCATAGTCGTGCTCTGCGGCGATCGCCGCCTGGGTTGACGAGGCGTGGTATGCTGAAGACATGGTAGATCGGGGCTAGATGGAACGGGCACGCTCTGGTCGTTCTCAGGGCTTAGTGTGCGCTGGGGTTAGGGGGCTGGGATGGCCTGGTTTGGCACTGGATGCGGGGTTGACAAAGGCGGTGTTGGAGGGGCTTTCGGGGGCGAGGCCAGCTAAGGATTTAGGGGGGCTTCCAGGGGGGTGAGTTGGTGAAAGAGCCGCAGGAAGTGATCAGCAACTAGTTTTCAGATCGACTTTCCCTCCACAGATCCAAGTTGAGATGCAAGATTGTCACAACAAGGGCATTGACGGCAGACCCTCGCAGGTTATATATCCCCAGACTCAAAACCGGCGGATTCTGGTTCGCTTCCGACGGTATCCTTCCAGCTAAACCTCTAAGTGCAAGTGGCACCCACCATCTCTCCACTCGCTGCAAGGAAGAGACACCAGACTCGGGGCGAATCAGCACGGCACTGCGGGCGGGAATCGAGAGCGACGTCGTATTGGTCATCTGATCCAGTGCCTCCTTGCGCCCTCATCCGGTGAGCATCAGTTGGACGGCGGAAATGCTCTTGGCCCCGGGTATTTGATGACACCTATTTGACATCATTGGCGCAATCCTCCAGGGAATAAACATTAAATTGCTCGCCGGCGGAGATTTGCGACCAACGAGAGTTTGCGGAACGAGCGTGCCCGCCCTTCAGAGCTTTTCCCGGCGACAAGCGCTCGAGGAATTCCTTCTGCCATGAGCGTGTCGGGGATATGCCTTCGTTGTCTTCAGAACCACCAGGCTCGCTGCGAGGCGATGGACTGGAGCATCCTCTCGAGTCGCCGTTTGACAAATTGCGGCGGAACACTCGACATGTGCGTCGTCACATCCAGCAACGCAACTCGCGCGATATTCTCCTGTTCCTGGTCGGATTCCGGATCCTGAATGCCCTGTGCGTCAGGACCTTCTTTCAACCGGACGAGTTCTTCCAGTCATTAGAGCCAGCATGGCAGATCGCATTCGGAGACGAGAGCGGCGCGTGGATTACTTGGGTATACACATCACTTTTAATCAAGACTGCATGGCAAAGAGGGCTGACTGAGTGTCACTTTGCAACCTTAGGAATGGAAGCACCACCTCCGATCTTCAATCCACCCGTACATCTTTGCGACCGTGTATTGGATTGCCAACCAGATAGGCCAACAACTACAACTGTCACCCCTGAGTCGTGCCGATCTTTTGATAGCTACTCCTAAGGCTACACAAGGTGTTTTGGCCGCGTTGGGGGACTACTACACTTGGAGGCTGGCTGGGAAGGCCTTGGGGACCAGTGATGAGATTTGGTGGACTGTATGTTGCACGTTCATGCGGGATAGTTGATTTGGAAAAACTGATGTATCCAGCTGGGCCTAACTGTCCTGAGCCCTTGGCAATGGTTCTGCTCGACACGAACGCTGTCCAACTGTCTCGAGACAACCTTGACGGTTGCCGCTTTATATTACTGGCCCTGGGATTGGAGCACTGCCGGTGGCTCGTCTGGTCAAGCTGCGAGACAACCGAAGACACTTGAACCAGAGCAGAGCCACCTACGGAAATGTTTACTTTTGGCTGCCCTGGCGTGCATTTTACGGCCGACCAATCTCATCATCTGGCTTTGCCTGGTGACCTTTCCGTTCTTCACCATCGGGTTCCGTGACGGATTCCTGGCTAGAAAGCACGTGATCCTTATTCGAGAGAGCGTATGTTGCGGGTATGTTCAAGAATAATCAGCTGTTGATAGAACGGTTTCTGATGCGCTGCAGCTTCTCTATTTTCTTTCTGGCCTTGTTGGCAGACCGCGTTTATTATGGAACTTGGACGTTGCCCCCGTTCAGATTCCTCTACTTCAATATTGCGCAGTCTTTAGCGATATTCTATGGGAGAAATGATTGGCATTATTATCTCTCGCAGGGTTATCCACTCTTGCTAACGACAGCTGTCCCATTCACATTAATTGGTCTGGTCCGCGCGTTTGGACCTACATTGGATGAATCAAAGAAGCTACAAGCATCGATGCGGCGGCAACTCGCAACTATCTGCATTGCAATGCCTATGATCCTCTCTTTGATTTCACATAAGGAAGTCCGTTTCATATATCCACTCCTCCCTTCCCTCCATGTGCTTACAGCGCCGGTTTTGGCGAAATTCTTCGGGCCGGCAATTTCTTCGAGTTCTAGGTCGTATGTCCCTCGCAGGCTATTACTCAGTTTCCTCATTCTGGTAAACCTGGTGGTTGCAATTTATACCACTATAACCCACGCTTCCGGTCCCGTGAGGGTGCTTGAGTATTTGAGGAACCAAAACGAACGGATAGCCGCAGAAGTCGATGCTCAGAAAGCCCTACCGCAGCCGCTTTTCACTTCCCACTTTTCTACCGCTAAACTTTCAAAGGGTTTGACTGTAGGCTTCTTGATGCCATGTCATAGCACTCCATGGAGGTCTCATCTCGTCTTTCCATCCATCCAAGCCTGGGCATTATCTTGCGAACCTCCAGTTAATTTTAACGAATCGCAGCGTGCAGCATACTTGGATGAAGCAGACCAGTTCTACGCAGACCAGCAATCGTTCCTACGCACAAACATGGTTGGCGGACTGAAACATCTTCCACGCACTCCAACCTACCAAAAGAGCCAACCCTCGGATGACGCCAATGCTGCCAAGGAGCACAAGCACAGCTGGCCTGACTACCTCGTGTTCTTTGCACAGCTGGAGCCGACAATGAAATCTCTACTCCGCGCATCGTCGTACGCCGAGTGCTACCGCACCTGGAACACAGCTTGGCATGACGACTGGCGAAGAAAAGGCGACATGGTCGTTTGGTGCATAGATCCCGCCGCCCAGCGGGAGTGGCGTGAAAAGAATCAACGAGTCCACCTTCACGAGGATGGGTGGGAAGGACTGATGAAGAGCAAGGCTAAGCAGGTTGATAAAATTATCGAACAGTTGGGTAAAGAAAAGACCGGTGCGTGGAATAGGAAGAGAAAGCAAGGCAATGCATGGATTCCGACGTTCTCGCTGCAGAGAAGCTCCAGCTGGCAATTTAGGAAGCCATTCGCGATGATGGACTTGTCGTGGGGTGGAGGAGGGCGTAGGAGTTGGTACCGGACGTGGTCGTGGCCTTGGGAGAAGAGGCGGAAGCCGTCTTGGTCTCAGATGATCAGGGCGTGGTATGATAACAAAGAGTGATGGGTTGGAAGTCTGATGGCGCGGATTTGTGGTCTTGAATATATTTGGATGTGTGGATGGTGCCCCCTTAATCATTCTTCGTGGCTTTCTTTTCTTTTCTTTCATCTTTTTGTCTTTTTTCACAATTCTCTACACCAGATGGAAGTACAGGTACTGACAATTTAATCGCTACTTTTTTCTTTTCGTTGCTTTTTTGTCATTCTGAGGAACTCCAGATATGATCTTTTGCCGAGAAAGAAGTCCGAATCCAATGCTAATCATCATCAGTCAAAGGGTGCTATAGACCAGTGAAGTTTTCAATGCTGGGGAATGATTCAACACGAAGAAGAATGTATGGGACATTATAAACATCGAAATCCGGAAATAAGTAGCAATGCTGATTCAAAAAGAGGGAAAGGTATTAAAAGAAGTATGGGTATCATATCTTCAAGATTGGGTCAAACAACAAAAGTGTTGGGTGCACAGTAATGGGGTTGGAAGTACGCTCCAAGGTCGTCCAAATGCTCTCTTATCTTTCCTTCACCAAAAAAAAAAAAAAAAAAAAAAAAGGAAAAGTCCCAATAGAGAGCAGCTATGCCGAAGAAAGTGGAAGAAAGACAAAGGACGTCGAGTTATATTTAACAAAATCCAAAGAGGAATTCGAAATAAAAAGGAGCCACGGAAAAGGGAGAAAAAAGCACCCAAGAGAACTGAGGAAGAATGACGAAAACAGCGCCAATACGAATATGCAAAAAAAAGGACTTCCAAAGTGCTCATACAACATATCTACCTTCTCCTCGCCCTCCATTTCATTATTATTAGTATCATCCGTATCTTGCGCTTAAACTAGCAAACACATCAGGGCTATGGCGTCCACTCTGGGCACGGCCAATGTCCACACTCTCCTGGCTCATATGTGCTCGAGCAAAGGGCGTGCTCCTTGGTTGCGCTCTCGCGCTGGTTGCAGACGAAGGGTTGGTTGGAATGATATTGGTGTTCATGGATGTAAAGAAGGGATTGCGACTACCAGCGGGAGACGCATCGGGAATCTGAGATGTCGTGGCAGTTGGATTGTCTGGGGGAAAAGGGAGCGGGTTTACCGGTTGTTGGACTGCTTGCACCTGGGAAGAAGGCGGTTCGGGCTGTGTTTGCGGCTGAGGCTGCTCGAGGATTGTTGGAGGCGGTTTTGAAAAGTTGTACAGAGCGAGGATGCTGGACTTGTCCATCCTAGTTGGTTGTGGTGGTTGGAAATATTGTGATGGTTGTTGTGTGTACTGTGGTTGGAAAAAGGAGGTAGAGTGGACAGGGGTGATTGGTGCGCTTTGTGGAAATTGCGGGTGTTGCTGCTGATGGTGCTGTTGGGGTGTGGTAAATGAAAGCGTAGGAAGCATTGGCATGGTGTTGGCATGCTGGAGATGGAATATCTCTGGTGCGCTGCTTGTGGCAGCAGGCTGTAGTGAGTTGAGGAGCTGGGATTGGCGGCTGTCTTGTGACGCTGCATGTGCAAAGTATGGGTTTGTTGGGGATAGGCTGGGTTGCTGAGGTGCAGAGGTAGCGCTATCGAATGTCGAAGGGCTTTGGAAAAATGGATTGTAACTGCCATTAAGGGGAGCAGGAGATCCAGCAAAGACGTTTTGCGACGTCATGGTAACTGGCGGCGTCATTGGCTGTTGGTATTTAAGATACGCAGCTTGACCACTTTGGCTTGGATATCCTCCTGTCATGTTGGGAAACAAGGGTTGAGACACTTGGAGGTTTTGAAAGGATTGCTCTAGAGTCGGCGCAGGGGCATGTTGCGCCGGAGGAACGTCGAATGGATTATAAGAAGTTGGCTTCCTGGAGCTTACCTCATCCGTGCTCGCTGTTGTACTTTGGGATTCTCGACGATTGATGGATATTCCCGCGGAGCCTCGAGACGATGAAGTGCCCATTTTATCGAACGGATTGTTGGAGTTAAGCGGGGTGGAACGCTCGTATGGCTCGGAGGATTTGGTGCTTGTAGGAGTTTTCAATGTTGGCGTACGTGACCTTGGTAAAGGGGCCTGAACCTTCTCCGAGTCTCACCAAAGCGTCCACTGTTTTTTCAACATCACCATTTAAGCCTCGAAGGATGGTTGCGTTTCGCTTATCGTCAGGAAACCCCATATTTCGCAACATGGCCAGTTTCGATTCAAAGGAGCTGTTGGAATCACTGAGGCTGAAGCCAAGTGCGCGAGACGGCTTATTATTGTGGAGTGAACCCTGTGAGATTGAGCCAAACGACTCACGGCGAGGCGAAGATTTATTTGACCCGGAGTGAGAAGAGGACGATCGAAGGCCAAATCCAAATCTCCTGCTTGGCTTTGGCGGAAGTGGGGGAGGAGACTCCTCTGTCGGCTTTCCGATATAGCTTGGATCCTCTCTACTTGGAATTTTGGGTCTTCCATCTTCGAGAATTTTAGACTCGTACTTTTGGCGGATGAAGCGTTCCATCGCTGAATCGACCTCGTCGGCATCGATTGGAATCGGCGGTTTTATGTTTTTAGGGTTATATATTTTGTTGACTGTTGCATTGCCATTGCTTTTCATAGTCTTCGACTTATCAGTAAGCCATTCTTCATTCGTCAGCTGGTGTCTTAGGCCAACTCACATCCACTTGATCTTGAGACCAGCTATCCATACTCAACGACTTCACCTTAGATATATGCGTGCCGAGCTTGCGGTGCAGTGCCGCACATCGCATACAGAGGAAAACTCCGAGCTGTCATGGTGACGTTGGGTCAGCAACCGGCTGCCACTGGAAAGGAACGATGACGGTTCAACAGGTTCTGGGCAATTAAAGAACAGGCGATCGGAAAGGCGAGAGATGTGGACGCATTACTTACATTCCAGCTTGCCCATCCTAATGAAACCATCAACCAGGGGTTAGCTCTAGAGTCCTTTGTTTGAAGGCTGTTATGATGCACGGTTGCGGAAAGGAAAGCTTACCGGGATTACGCGCCTGACAGTCTGCACAACGGTCATTCCCAGGGACGGTATTTATCAATTCCTGCAAAGTCCGCTCGTGGCGCGCCTGCTGGCGCTTGCTCAACGCCGACGGCATTTCCTGTTCAGCGAGGCGGGCGATGGAAATAACAGTATGTGGGAGTTGATGTGGTTGACGAGAAGGTAGATAGTCTCCTGAGAAGATGGATTTAGGTTTTAGGCCAAGGGAGACGGTGGAAGGCTGGCCGGTTCTGGAGAAACCCTACACCCGACTTCGAGTCCGCGCTGGGTCGACTTGCATCGACAGCGGCATTTCAAACGGTTGGGTCGATTCTGGTTGTCCGAGGGAGATCTCACGGTTGGTGCAGAGGATTGAGAGGAAGAGCGTTGGACTGTTGCTGACATTCCTTTCGGCTACGTGCGCCACTCTTGGAGAGTCTAGACATTCGCAATGTGTGCTTGGCGCACGAGGGCAATATCAACTGCTCGTCTGCCTCTCAAACACAACTGGGAGCACGCGGATTCTGAGGATGAACTTCTGTTCCTGCCGCTATGCTGTGCGGCATTCTTATTATCCACGATTTGGGATGAAATCCTCCGTTCCTCCCACTGAGCCATGTTCTCCATAACCCAGGGCTTTTTCATCGTCTCGCATACGAGTTATCGTCCATGATCGGTTCATCTGGAAATATTACTGAGGAGCGGCTGTTCGTTTGCACGCTCTCCACAATGTTGTCCGGAAAGGATATCCTTGGAAGCATGCGCAACTTGAGCTTCATGTTTGACGTTGCGGGGTTGGTGAATATCACCGCTCTTTCCAGCATCGCTGCTGTTCCAGCACTTGAGGTCCACCAGAGCCTGCCAATTCGATGATCAAAGGAGAATTCCTGGATTTTCTCACCCAGCGCGTGCCGAAGCACCTTTTTGTTTGACTGGTCTCTGCAATGTTCCATTCTCCATCGTCCCTGGCCTTCCCAGCAATAAATGAATTCGCACCGTGGCGGGAAGGAAAACAGTGTGCAATGGTATGGGAATCTGGCTTCGTGTCAACTATCGGCCAGCAAAGACTTCAGGCGAGTGGATTGTTTGACGCGATAGAAGGACTGTAGGAGCCTCTTCTGGACAGCAAGCTGTGTTGGGGCCTAGAACATGTGTCGCAGCAACGCGGGCATGTGAGCCATATATATGTAGTCAGTTACTCGGCCTCCACCAATGAACTATGTCGCGACAGCTTGCAAAGAGAGAAGCTCTCTTTGGAAGAGCGACTAGATTGTTAGCTTGCAGTTGCGATCCAAGTAGTTTCATCGGACACGGGATCTAGAGAACACGGAGACGGATCTCAATGGCTTTTTCCACATCGCTCCGAAGAGCTGTGGAATGACGCTGTGCTCTCCCTACAGCTCTTCTCACTCAATGCTGATTGGAAGGCGCAGCTTATCTGATCGCCAGCCAGCTGCCAAGACCCTTCCGCGCTGCTGTTGGAGCCGCATTCCCATTGGCTGTTTCAGAACAGGGATCTCTCATACGCCGCGCGATATTATTGGCTAGTTTAACTAAAAGCGGACCATGCAGGTTACAACGACTAACTAGATACAGCTAGCCTGTATTTTATGTTACGCGTGTCTCATCAGGTCTGTTTGGATGACCTCATCACTCCGACGCAGTCAATGCCAGCTAATAACTTGCATGTTGTTGATGTAATCCAAAGCAACAAATGGATAGTAGATATCAAATCTGCTTCACTGTAGTCTGTGGACAGCTCTCAACCATCTGAAAGGGTGACTTTCTCGCCCGTTCCGGGTGTCGAGTGTGTCCCATGCTCAGGCATATCTAACTACAATGAACCAGGGCTCAGTTCGCCAGCGTGAAATTCTTAAGACGAGTTATAGTATCAAGTATTACTCCATGTAGGGCAAGACACAACAACATACGGAGTATTAATGAAGCCTTTGTTTGATCGAGGGATGGGATTGCTTGGAAGCCTGATACGGCAGCCCATTTTGTCGTCATCGGACAAGCTCCTCGAGTGGCACACAAATATTAGCACACTTCGCTTCGGCTAGCCTGCTCGCCTTTCTTCCCTTTCCCACCCAAATATTACCCCCTCAACAGCCTCCCTTTCTCCTCTCCCTTTCAACCTCGAAAAACATTTATCTTCGTCGGGTTTCCCCGAAACTCCCTGACGTTACGAATATCTACACAGGAAGTGAAACCCCTCCCTCTTCTTTGTAGCCCTTAATGGGTATATCGCTAGAGGCAGGGTTGCAAGCAAAGTCATCTCCATATTAAAACTTCAAGTGCCCGTCGTTCAGACTCTTCCCCATCTCGCGCTCCAAAGCGTCACACCGACAAGATTGCATTCAATTTTGTTCGCAGGGGGCCTGTATCGGGATGGCTGACTTGCACAGTGTCACAGCAAACCCCATGCTAGGGACTGGATAACATCGCCTCTTGAGATGAGATGAGCTATATGACGGCTTTTCTCCCGTTGCGAAAAAACCAAGCACGATGAGGCCGGCTTCCAAGCTTGCGTGTCCTCTGTATGGAGTCCGACTCAAGCGCGGCCCCTGAATCCCCTTTTTCCGCGTGCAGGCGCGACAGTGCATTGA